TGTGGAACTGTGGGAGGGCATCCCAAACATGGAATTTATGTCTCTGCCACAAAAGTCTGGTTACTCTGTAGTGAGGCATTCACAAAGCAAAACAGTTTGAGTAAATAGAGAAATTCATTTAAAAATACTTCCTTCTGAGGGAAGAGGAAGCAATCCTAAAAATAAAAGTTCTTGAGAGCTTTTAAGCAGGTGTTCAGAAATGCAATGCCTCCCTGTTTCAACAGGACACAAATAATATTTTTTCTCCAGACACTGCAGACTTTCCATAGTTATCTGAAGTAATCTTACCTTTCCAAGTATGGCGTGGTAGGAGGATCGTTTTTCATTGAACAAGATGTGTCATTCCCCTTCTCAGGAGAATTAACTGCTTGGGCCTTATCTTTTATCCCATCCTCACGCTGTTCTGTTTCGCATTTTGCTTTCTTTTTTGAACGTTCTTTACCCTTGTGCTTTTTATTCTTTTTTGGCAAGATCTGTTCCCTTGGTTTTAAATCTAAATCAGTTTCTTCTTTCTGGACAGCTTCACTGCTTGCCTCTGCCTTCTTGTTATCACTCTCTGCTTTTTGGACATCATCAGAGCAGAAATCCTTGAAGGTTTCCTGAACTGGCTCTACGGATGAATTTGGTTCCTTGCTGACTTCCACTAACTCACTTAAATGAGCTTCTATCATAGTTCTCCCTAAAAATAAAATACAGAAAAAGGTACAGCTGTGATTAGTTACAACTAAAGAGAATGTTTTAGAGAGGTCCTGACATTTTAGAGCTTTACATGAGAATGAAAGTTAAGTAAGCATTAAGACTAAGCCACAGCAATTTAAATTACTAATAATTTTAGTCACCTTTGAGAACCTGCAACCTCAAAACTCAAACTAAGTACACATACTGAGAAGTCATTCTCTTACTTTCCAAGTGCAGCAGCTCTGAACAAATATTTCAGTTTCTGGGTTCAAATATTTGTCAGGTTATGTTATACTGAATGGGAATATTTATGGCTACTTTACTTCAAAAACTAGAATATTTAGAACCTTTAACTGACATGATGCCAAAACACAACCTTCATTACCTTCTGGTAATGAAGGAGTTTGTGTCAAAGAGGCATTGATTTCTAGCTCACAAGAATGTTTTTATTTACTCTTTGATTATCAGGCTGAAATAGCTTTGATAAAGTTTAAGTAGAAAGTTTGAATACAAAAGCATCTCCAATCATTTTAACATGCCCACTATTGAAAAGTATTTGGTTAGTCAAGATTGTTTTCAAAGACAATTAAGTACAAAATTATCACAGAAAATTTTCTATGAAATAAAATTTAATATCAACACAAATAGTTTGTGTTCTGTACACAGCTTGTGTTGCCTGTTAAGTCCCACATTTAATTAAAATAGAGTACTCAGACTTACCATTCTCAGACTTAAAAAGGCTTTCATTATTTTTCATAGTATCTATTAGTGTGTGTCGTAGTTCCTCTTTAGGCTGAAAAAAAGTTGTACTGTTTTAGAAAAACAATTACAAAAATAATCATTATCTCAGCTTATTTATTTCATATAACTGTTACAGGGAAAGTGGTACAGATCACATGAGGTTCACCTTAGAAACCCTTTATTTAGTGCTGTTCAGACACAAGTAAGAAAAAAAGTGAATCCTGTATTTTCTGCATTTGGTGCTCTAAAGCTGTTATTTGATGTCCTGAAATCTTGCTATTAGTAAAGCACAGAAGTGAAGTCCATCAATAAGTGTAAAACTAAGTTATGTTTTGGGTTTCTAGTGATACTAGAAGTCTCAATCCTTAATGCCTTCTAGGTGGAACATCATACGGCAATTCAATGATCCTAAAACCCTTCTTCTTCAAAGTAATGCCTACAGTGGTTAGAGAGCAAACTAAATCCATTATTTTTATGTTTAAGTAAGTCACATGGCTCTCCTTCAACCATAAAAGAATTTAATAAAATCAGAAGCAGTTGTATTTTACATACCATACTTCCATGCCTCACTAATTGTTAATCTCAAACTTCAAGAAAAGCTGCTTACCATTGCTCCTGCCAAAATGGCCTCCTCATAGACAGCAATAAGCTTTTCAAGAGAGCCCCTCTGTTCAAGATGCATACAGCAGATCCAATATTTTGCAAGCTTTTTAACCGCAGGAATGCTCAGTGCGAGATCTTCCAACATGGCATGTACTTCATCACCTTGACATCCCTAAAGTCAACACAAAAGCAGAAATTTAAATGCAGTTAACACATTGAGGTGCCGTAGTTTAGCTGGTTTTGAACTAGAAAGCAAGTATTTTTTTCTTTCTCTGGCAGAAGAATTGCTATGCATCTATTCTTCCAAATGAGAATTATTTATACAGTATTGTGAGTAGAAGGGATAGTAGAATGTATAGACATCTTCAGAACTACCTGAAACAGACTTATTCAGAAGTACAGACAAGTTTCTGCAAATGCAAACTTGTTTTAGATTAATTCCTTCTAGCTATTTACTGTGTTGTAACTCTTCTACTATTATAGCTGTACTATTATTACCATTATTGCCTATTCTTATTCGGTAATTCAGTAAATCGGTAAAGCTTTATTTCTTCAGGTGTTGGCAAAAGCTATGACATTGCTTAACTTAGGGAACAATTATTCCCCTGTACCAGATTCACATGGGTCTAGCACACCTGTAGGACTTGTATGTTGTGGGGAACTGTATGATCAGAACTCAGTAGGCAAGGGTCCAAATACCTGTGCTGTTAACTGCAGGCATTCACTGAGAGTCTTGTTGACCTTTTCACTATGTAATATGTGCTTTAAAGCATCAGAA